CTGAAGGCAATTGGATCCACTAGATTTTAGAAGGGGTATCAGAGTAAAGGGGGCTGAATACAAATGCATGCCACACTTTTCAGATATTTGTAAAAAATGTTGAAAACAATTAATTTTATTAAAATGGCCTTTTCATTTCAATTTGCAATCACTGTAGTTTTCTGAAAAACAAATATCGCTTCTGCATACCATTGGTACTGGTTTGTACCAAGATTTATCAAACATTTTAGGCATTCCCTGCAATGGGAGAATCAATTTTGATGAGATACCACCAATGGCTTGTCTACTTCTAACAACATCTTTTCTACTTTAAAAAAAAAAAAAAAAAAAAAAAAAAAAAAGTGCTCCGATGGATATACACTGTTTAAAAAAATTAAAGGAACACATCAGATCTCAATGGGGAAAAATATCATGCTGGTTATTTATACTAATATGCACTGGGTAATGTGTTAGGAACAAAAGTATTTCCCATCATTTTATGGAAATGAAAATAATCAACCTACAGAGGACTGAATTCAAAGACACCCCGAAAATCAAAGTGAAAAAATTATGCGTCAGGCTAGTCCATTTTGCTGAAATTTAATTGCAGCAACTCAGAATGGTACTCAGTAGTTTGTATGGCCTCCACATGCTTGTTTGCATGCCTGACAACGTCGGGACATGCTCCTAATGAGACGATGGATGGTGTCTTGGGGTATTTCCTCCCAGATCTGGACAAGGGCATCACTGAGCACCTGGGCAGTCTGAGATGCAACCTGGCGGCATCAGATGGACCGAAACAGGATATCCCAGAGGTGTTATATTGGATTTATCAAAAAAGTATATAAGCAAGCGCAAAATTGAGAAAAAGTATATATATGAGCATACAAGCAGCTGCTAGCACTTCAGGGCATAGGCAACGGTGCCTTGTTTGGGGTTTGCTGAGAGCGGTGCTCTAGTTAGTGCAGTGTGTTAGCAGAGAGCACATAGATGGGGCTGTGCGGGCTCGCAGGACGTACACCACACCTACATGGACAAGTTCTGGGCTATCTTTCCCAGGACAAGGGATACTCGCCCCACCTGTACAAGGATGATGCTGGAGGATAAACCCCTAAACTACTTCTCTGTTCCTGCACCCAGATTTGACAGATTGTAACAAATGCTTGCTAACATATAATTTATGGTGAGTGTACACCCATCTGAGGTGGTGGATTCCCTCTGTGGATATATGCACATCTGCACTTTTTCACTTGGATGTATTGCAAATCAACCTGAGGACTATTATTGCTCATTTTTTGCGGATTTGATTTTAGATATATTACGGACATTTATTGATTCACTTTTATGCACAATTGCACTTAATAGCACTTTATTATTCTGCACTTATATATTTTATGAGAATTATCGTATATATTCTCATATTATTTGTGCATTTATAGAGCTGCACTTTATTCATTTACACATTAAATTGGATTTAGGTCACGCGAGCATGGGGGCCATTCAATGGTATCAGTTCCTTCATCCTTCAGGAACTGTCTGCATACTCTCGCTGCATGAGGCCAGGCATTGTCATGCACCAGGAGGAACCCAGGACCCACTGCACCAGCATATTGTCTGACAATGGGTCCAAGGATTTCACCCCGATAACTAATGGCAGTCAGGGTGCCATTGTCTAGCCTGTAGAGGTCTGTGCTTCCCTCCATGGATATGCCTCCCCAGACCATTAGTGACCCATCACCAAAACAGTCATGCTGAACGATGTTACAGGCAGCATAATGTTCTGCACGGCTTCTCCGGACCCATTCACGGCTGTCACGTGCTCAGGGTGAACCTGCTGTCATCTGTGAAAAGCACAGGGTGCCAGTGGCAGACCTGCCAATTCTGGTGTTCAATGGCAAATGCTAATCGAGCTCTATGATGCCAGGCAGTGAGCACAGGGCCCAGTAGAGGATGTCGGGCCCTCAGGCCACCCTCATGAAGTCTGTTTTTGATTGTTTGGTCAGAGATATTCACACCAGTGGCCTGCTGGAGGTCATTTTGTAGGGCTCTGGCAGTGCTCATCCTGTTCCTTCTTGTACAAAAGAGCAGATAGCGGTCCTGCTGATGGGTTAAGGACCTTCTATGGCCCTGTCCAGCTCTCCTGTATTAACTGTCTGTCTCCTGGAATCTCTTCCATGCTCTTGTGACTGTGCTGGGAGACACCACAAACCTTCTGGCAGTAGAATGTATTGATGTGCCATCCTGGAGGAGTTGGACTGCCTGTGCAACCTCTGAAGGGTCCAGGTATTACCTCATGTTACCAGCAGTGACACTGACCCTAGCCAAATGCAAAACTAGTGAAAAACAGAATAGATGAGTAGGGAAAAAATGTCAGTGGCCTCAATCTGTAAAACTATTCCTGTTTTGGAGGTCATCTCATTGTTGGTCATCTAGTGCACCTTATTAATTTCATTAACACCAAAGCAGCTGAAACTGACTAAACCCCCCCCCCCTGCTACTTAACTGACCAGATCAATATCCCAGGAGTTTAATTGACTTGATACTATACTCTGATTAAAAAGTGTTCCTTTAATTTTTTTGAGCAGTGTAATAATGGTAGACCCTCCCATTCAAATATCAATCTGGCATGGTGGTAGGAATATGCAACAAAGTTTGACAAAATTATTTTACAATGTATAGAAGTGACCTGGAGGGGATTATGCTCTTCATGACAAAACCACAGTTATACTTTGTAACAACAATTGCTGAGCTCACCACCTACAAATGCTAGTTGTCTAGTTGTTATGCAGACTCCATGACCCAACACTTGAGTCATTGACTCAGAAGTAGGAGATGATGTTCTCCTTCATTCCTGTCCCACATAATTGTCATTGGCTCAACTAACTCATACTTTGCCCAATCAAGCAAAATCAACTGCTTTACTTCGCTAAGCTTGCTTGCATTCCCCCACTACACTGTTTATCCATTAAAAATTATAGTTTCTGGTCAGTGCTTAAAGGGTAAGTTCACCTGACGAAAACTGAAAAGGTGAACACCAAATATCCTGGCCACCCCTCTGAACCCTGATGCACATACTGACTGTGATGCCCCGTGCTGTTGGCGTAGCAGTCTTTACATTGTTCATCACAATACACAACCCCGGAGTGAGTATCCATCATAATCAAAAGGCAAGTGCTTTTTTTCTTCTGGGACACCTTACCACAGGAATAAGGCCCAGATGCCTTTCTCATTGATCAACAGTCAAGTGGCCAATGAGCAATTTCCACTGTGGGCATTATAATGGATATTCACTTCAGGACTGTGTATTGCAGTGCATGGTCTGCTAGTGCACAGGATGGCATCAGAACAATGAAACGTGTAGGCTACGGCTTCACAGCACTCTGCGAGAGGTTTGAGTGCAGAGGTACACCTGTATTTGTCGTTATAGCCATCCACGTTAGCAGCATCAATTTGAGGTTTTAAAGGGATACTGGCAGTTAATTTTATTTATGCGACTGCACTTATTTTAGTTTTAACAACTTTAATACCATATGGAGTACTATGTCTGCCTTAGATTCTTTTGAGCATTGATACACCTTACACCACCTGAGCTGTGGATGACTGCTGGACTCACCAAAAGTGGGATTTCTGAGGAGGATTGTGTGAGCCCTGGAGAGAGTCCAGCATGGTCAACAGAGTTTTTATTTGATCTATATGAAGGTGCAATAAGACCTTTGCCATGAGGGTCAATTTTATAAGGTGAGTGTGTTCAAAAAGGAGAACAGTGGAGATGTCTACTACCACACGTTCTTCTCAATGAACTGGATCATAGAATCATGCATGGACATTTGTGGTAATGACCTCTTTTGATGATTTTAATCACAAGTGTTTTTTATATTAAAAAACATAATTTTATATATATATATATATATATATATATATATATATATATATATATATATAAATAAAATGGTACACAGTTTTGTTTGATATTTTGATTCGTACAATTTACTAGTGCAGCATATTAACATTTATCAGTTTAGGTGATTCTTTGCTTGCAGCTTTGGGTTTTTATACAGCTGGTGTGCAGGGTCACTTTGTATACAATACTTGTACCTGCATTCAGGGCCAGTAAGAGGAACCACAGAGCACAGCAAGGTACAAGGCATCTTAAACACCCAGAATTGTCAACTGTTAAGATATTGCTGGGGGCTGTAGCTCTTTAAGAGAGTTACGTTCAATATCATTTCCTGTTAGAAAACCATTGGGCTTCATTCAAACGAAAAATCAGCCTGCTTTCACACTGTTCCGAAGTGCAATTGCAGACGTGTTTTTGACACATTTTTATATGAGTTTCCAGTGTGTTTTCTGGTTGCCTGCACCTGTAAAAAATGGACATGTAACAAAAAAACACACCACAAATGCAAACACGTAGCGTTTTTGCTGCATTTACCATTCATTTCAATGGGGATCTGCATTTTTTTATGTGGTTTTGAAAAATGCACCAAAGATGCAGCACTTTTCAAAATACATAACACCTGCAGCAAGTGGTGTTGTAGTTACATCCTGATCATAGAGGAAAACTAGGAATTAAAGGGGTGCTTACATGACTGGGGAGGGCACAGCAGCCACCAGTCTTATGAAGTGGAAAATGGGGTGAGTGAGCCCTGGAAGGGAATTTTTCAGCTGAAAAAAGGGGTATAGAATCATGGAAGGTAAGAGATCTCCTTTACACAAGTGAGTTTCTAGTTGTGTCTGGGGCCTCCTGACATACTTGTTCCCTGTCAGTGATCAGCAGACAATGAAGGAAGGAGGACCATGTCACCTGACAGCTTCAGAGATAAACCAGCATTGCAATCCTCATGTGTGATCTACACAGCCTGCAATGCTAAGTGCAGCTTTATTCTTCACAACCAATCAGCATTAAGTATAAAAAATAATACCAGCTGTGATCTGATTGGTCGAATTCATTAACCCCCTGAATTCTATGTTGCACTGCCCCCTCCACCTTCACTCTATTGCTGTACAGTTCCCCGTCTCACCCTCCTCTTTGTCTTCCTCTTCGTTAACAGGACGAAATCCTGGAGGTAGAGCCGGACCGATTATATCCCGGGACATCTTGAACTAAACCGGCGCAGCAGTGTGACGTCACTAAAACACTACATTTCCGGTCAAATTTTGAGGGCGCAAATTAAACCATGGCGGGACTACGATTCTAGACTTGAAATGACGGAGTGACCTATATGAACGAGCCGTGCCAGCCACTTATGAATTTAGCGAATAGAAATCAACAAGCGCCCGAAGTCTATGATAGGAAGTGACGTGTGCGTTCCAAGGCTGCCATGTGACCGCAGTTGGGCCACCATCTTTGAGTCGGGCATTCCATTTTTATAGAATAAATTTCATTATTTGGGTTAAATAAAGCATATGGAGCGTGCTAGTCAGGTGTAATTATACACGGGTGATAAGTGTGTGGAAATGGAGGCCATAAGCTGAGGGCTGTGTGGTTTGTTATGGGGACCCGGAAGTGAGGGTTCACGCACGTTGTCATCCTACATGCTCCAAGCATGGAGTACAGCGCTCCCTATCCCGCTCCTGTGCTTCGTCCTCCGATGTTCACAGCCCCTCCAGACTCCGGCACACAGGGCTCCTGGCCCCCGACACCTGCCCAGGCCTATGCACACTGGCCGCCTGCTTCTCCCCAGAGCCCCTGGTATGGAGGATGGAGTCAGTGGGGGCCCCCGCCGGGGCATTTCCCGGGTCTGCCTCGAGGTGGGTGATGAGAGGAGGACACATACCCAGGAACTGGCCATAGTCGTCCTCGGACATTGCTCCCTCATATGTCCTCTGCTCTTCTTCCTACTAATTGATGTGTTTGTATTGCAGAGGAGAGAACTAGGCTGGAGGTCTGTACAGGCAGACTGCTTTTCCCTGAGGGGCCCCAACACCGCTCAGGCCTGCCTGTGATAAGTCTGAGAGCTGACCTCCAGGTATGGATTTGTAGCATCACTCCAGGGTAAGTATGCATATTCCATGCCCATGGAAGCAGAGAAGCGCTGTAGTAGTCACCGCTTCTACAGTAGTCACCATTTCTTCTGGGTGTCCTGTGCTTAGTGGCTCTTTTCTGCATAATAATCACATGGGGTGCCTACCTGGCATGGGTGCCATTCACAGAACCTCTTGTATTTTTCTCATTGAATGCTGTACGGGACACCAGGCTTGGGTCCAGAACAGGAGATACATGGCCCTGTTATTTTGGTTATGGTCTCTTTGGGTGATGCAAGTTTTGAGTATTCAGGTATTCTCATCCGCGAGGGCGTCTGGGGTTGTCTGCTTGGAGAATGTCTGATTTACAGTGCCTTCAGGATTAGTAACTTCTCAATTGTGACACAGAATTTAGAGGCTTGGAGAGACTTTGGCTAAGAAAGACTCCAATCCTGATGACAGGAACTGAATGGGTTCAAGCGGCAGTTAACAAACCCCCCCCCCCCCCAAAAGAAAAAAATGGGCCCCTGCAGGATAGTATTGTAATGTGCATCACACATTATGACAGACTTACCTAGTCCTCCATCTTCACCTGGTTTTCCTTTCGGGTTCGCAGGCTCTGGCCGCTTGAATGGCCAATCTGCGATGCCGGTCACTCCCACTCAATGGATGGTATGCTGCTCATTAATAATGCTGCATTGGACTGTCTCTTTGCAATATAGAAATGTCTCTTTACTGGATTGGACTGTCTCTTTGCTATATAGAAATGTCTCTTTACTGGATTGGACTGTCTCTTTGCTATATAGAAATGTCTCTTTACTGGATTGGACTGTCTCTTTGCTATATAGAAATGTCTCTTTACTGGATTGGACTGTCTCTTTGCTATATAGAAATGTCTCTTTACTGGATTGGACTGTCTCTTTGCTATATAGAAATGTCTCTTTACTGGAGTGGACTGTCTCTTTGCTATATAGAAATGTCTCTTTACTGGATTGGACTGTCTCTTTGCTATATAGAAATGTCTCTTTACTGGATTGGACTGTCTCTTTGCTATATAGAAATGTCTCTTTACTGGATTGGACTGTCTCTTTGCTATATAGAAATGTCTCTTTACTGGAGTGGACTGTCTCTTTGCTATATAGAAATGTCTCTTTACTGGATTGGACTGTCTCTTTGCTATATAGAAATGTCTCTTTACTGGATTGGACTGTCTCTTTGCTATATAGAAATGTCTCTTTACTGGATTGGACTGTCTCTTTGCTATATAGAAATGTCTCTTTACTGGATTGGACTGTCTCTTTGCTATATAGAAATGTCTCTTTACTGGATTGGACTGTCTCTTTGCTATATAGAAATGTCTCTTTACTGGATTGGACTGTCTCTTTGCTATATAGAAATGTCTCTTTACTGGATTGGACTGTCTCTTTGCTATATAGAATTGTCTCTTTACTGGATTGGGTCTTTTTTTTGCTATATGGAAGTGGCTCTTTGCTGGATTGGGTCGCCTTTTTTTGCTATATGGAAGTGGCTCTTTGCTGGATTGGGTCGCCTTTTTTTGCTATATGGAAGTGGCTCTTTGCTGGATTGGGTCGCCTTTTTTTGCTTTATGGAAGTGGCTCTTTGCCATTGTGGAATGCCTTTGTTGGATTGAGATGGCTTTTTGCTGAATTGGGATGTCTCTTTGCATATATGGGGATGTCTCTGCTGGATTGGGCCGTATCTTTGCTATGTGGGGATGTCTCTTCTGGATTGGGCCGTATCTTTGCTGGATTGGGTCTTTGTTGATCTTGTTGCTATATGGGGGATGTCTCTTTGCTATATGAGAACTTTTGCTGGATGAGGCTGTCTCTTTGCTATATTGGAATGCCTTTGCTGGATTGGGCTGTGTTTTTGCAATATGGGGATGTCTTTTTGCTGGATTGGGCTGTCTCTTTGAATATATGGGGGAGGTGAAATTTAAGGGCTATATGTTTTTTAGGAGGATTTTTTTTTTGTTTTCTTAGATCTGCTAGGGGAGGATAGGGGAGGAGAGGTCATTGTAGGGTCGTGCTCAAAACAGTCTACCTTGTTGTGGTGGTTGGCTTCATATTTTTTTTTTTTTTTGGCCAAAATATCATTCCTTACTGTTTAAATCTTGAAAGCACTAATGACGTGGAATACACTTTTTTTTTCTTTTTCATATATTAAGTTGAAAGAGTGTTACAATAAAAGTAGGTGCACTGAAGGACTCGGTGGGAAGGCCAGTGGACGAATGCTGGGGAATGTTGGGGGTCAGACCAGGAGTGGCCTAGGCCTAAAGCTGCGTAAGGGGCCCCAACATTTCTGGTGGCTTCTCTGTTGAGAGCCCAGTGTGCATGTGCCAATGATGTCACCAGATGCTACTAAAGTAAATATCTCCTAAAGCAAGGCTTGACAAATTTGGCTTTGAATCTAGGCGCCAACTAAAAAAGTTAGCCAGTTTTTTTTAGCATAGCGTGGGTTGTCCGTGTCTGGGGCAAGGCAAGTAATTTGTGTCCCCTAACTTACAGCAGAGTGACCAGCCAATAACCCCGACGTAATGCCGGAAAGAGGATGGGAAGGTGAGAGAGGTGTCACCAGCGGCCAAATCGCCAGTAAACTCCCAACACAGACCTGATCATGGGCACCTCCCCATGCACCTGATCATTGCTTAGGTGTGCCCATTCAGTAAGACAGGCACTACCCCTCCCACAAAACCCCCCCACAGGTGTTCGGCTCCCGTCCATTAAATTCTGCAGCCTCCGTGCTTCGCATGCTTTCCAGTATATGAACCCACCCAAATGAAACTTCCAGCCAATGGTGGTCTCTGCTGTCCGGCATAAGAACCTGTCCAGCTGAAACCTCCAGCCAATGGCAGCCCAGCACTTTGCCATCTCAACCTATAGCGGCAGGAGGGATTTAACTCTTGGAGGGCTGCAGCACCTTGGACTTGCAGCCCAACAGACTGTGCCTCTCTAAATGTTGAAACTGCACTGGCTAACCCCCCTGGGCTGACAAAAGCCTAGGTGCCAGGATGCAATTTCTTGTCCCCATGGGATTTGTAGAGCCCTGCCCTAAAGAGTGCTCATGTTGGAGATATTTACTGTACCTACAGGTAAACCTTATTATAGACTTATTTGTAGGTATAACTAAAAAAAGCAGACTTTACTATTTCTTTAAAGTGGTTGTAAAGGCTTAAGGTTTTTACCTTCATGCATTCTATACATGAAGGTATAAAACCCGTGTGCAGCAGCCCCTCCAGCCCCCTCAATATTTACCTGAGCCCCATCCTGATTAATTGATGTGCACAACAGCCTCGGCTGTCCCAGGTCTCTGCCTCCTCATTGGCTTAGATAGCAAGCGGTAGCCATTGGCCTCTACTGTTGTCAATCACAGCCAGTCAGCCAATGAGAAGAGGCAGGGTGGGGCAAAGCTGTTTGCTGAACCTTTGTGGCATCCCAAAGCAGATAGGAGCCCTAAACCCCAGTTTGCGATTAGCGCTTTAGCATTGAGCCAAGGTGATATTCTCATCATACCAGTATTAGGAACTGTTTTCATTTGGTTTGCTGAACAAAGCTACTTTTCTTGATTGTTTTTGAGTGGACAATAAAGATATTTACAAATGGCTGGATGGTGATCCTGATTTCCCATATCACAATGCAGAGAGTTCTCTGATTTGACAAGGTGGGGTGGTGATGTCACGCTCTACATTTTTGTCCAATAAGAGAGAGCATTTTATTCACTGAGTAAAGAACAATACATTCTGTGAATGGTGCCCTTGCCAAGCAGGTATACCAATGTGGTAACTATGCAGAAGGGAGACACTCCGTATGGGACCTGGAAGATGGCGCAAATCATAGCGGCGGAAACTATAGTAATTCCCCACTTCCACAGTGACTAGCCAGGTATGGATTATACATACCTGGACCAATGTAACAATACAAAAAAAAAAAAACATGCCTGGAGGTCAGCTTTAAAGTGTTACTAAACCCACAACAGTAAAATCAGTCTGTAAATGCAGTAAAACATGCTTGATATGCTTACTGAGAAACGTAAGGGTTATCCTCTGCATTGTATAAAAAGGATGTTTGATCCTGTCTTCTATGATTCTCCCCTTCTTCCACGTTCCCCATTTC